TTTTTTTTTTATTATTATTTTTGAGCAAAATATCTAAATTGTCCAATGGTGTGACAGCCTCAAGCATGGTTCAATAAATTACATCTTTTATAAATTAAAAAGAAAAGCATAAAAAAAACCTCAGGCATAGTTTTAGAAGTGTCTATTTTAGTTAAAAAATAAAAAAGCTTAGGAAATTGATGACATTTTGTCATTGGTGTCTCCGGTGTGACACCATATTCTTATTTTAAATTGGACAGTTTCACATTTAATTTACAAAATTTAATTAGCTGAAGGACCCCATTCAAGGTCACGTTACTGAAGCCCCCTGTGATGTCAACGATGTGCACATGGTACATTTCTGTCTCAGAATTGTTAAAATATTTAACTTTTAGGAACCAGTATAAAAGCGCTAAGTTTTGTTGTCCTTTGGTGTGACACCCCTAAATGATTTTTTAAAAATTAAAACTGTTTGTTATATGATGCTTTTTTAAAGATCATTATTTTGTGTATTTGGTGTAACAGAATATGTTGACATGCTTTAATGTTCAAAAAACACATTATTTTTCAAATACTGTACATTATTGTAGGTCCTCTATGCCCCGCCTCTCTCAAACATGTCGTTTTCAACAAAGCCCCCTCCTTTGACAAGCGCAGTCTGCTCTGATTGGCCAGCTGACCCAGTGCATTGTGATTGGCCGAGCACCGCAAGCACTCGTCAGAAATGTAACGCCCCTTACCATAATCGCCAGGTTCATCTTTCAAAATCAACGTTAAAACAGTTAATAATATCCATAGTTTTACCATCAGTTCAAGCCCGAAAGGGGAACAGAGTCGCGTGACAGACACAGTGATGAAGCTGGTATGTGTTTGCAGTACACAAGCCACGGCTCTCTCTCTCTCGCTCTCTCTCTCTCTCTCTCTCTCTTGCTCGCGCACACACACACACATGATGCGCAAAACTCCGCATTTGAACAGTCGATAGCAAATACTTAAACTAATAACAAAACAGTAGATGATTCAGAAGAGCCAGATTTTCGTAGCAAAGTCAGAATTACCTCCTCTCCTAGGTTCACGAAACGGTCATCTATAAAATGCATTGCTGTTCTGTTGTAAGTGATCTTAAAGATTCCTAAATGCATCTACTTTCGGAAGGCCAAATAAAGTGCTTTTGCTTTCGCCTAGAAACACACAGCGTCTCCCTGACATGCTGCTTCAACACTAACTGCGGTTACTGAAACCACGCCTTCTTTCTTTGCGTGCACATTTGGGCCACATTATGCAAATATTTCCACATAGTGAGGTAGATATGTGGGGGCGTGTTAGAACGAGCCGTTTTAGGGGGGCGTGGCAGAGTCTTAACTTTGATAAAGAATATCTCTTTGGTTTTGAGACTTTAGTCTTTGCAACTTCAGGGATCTTATCTATGCACAATCAGCTTGTAACACTCCAAAGAGAAAGGAAAACTTGAAATCGCATCATATGACCCCTTTAAACTACATGATCATGGAAAATAGCGATAGTGGTGATTTTCTGTCTGTCAGTACATTCAATCCACCATATTGTAAAACAAACCCAGCTTTTTCAGTGTCTTACAAATCACTCAACTCACATGTAATGAAAATTATACACCAACAGAGTCTCCTGATAAACAGTTAGAGACAGAGGATGTGCCAAACCCCAAAGAAACTTTCACCACCCACAAAAATTACTGCTACGTCTGCAAGAAACCTCAGTCTAAAATTTCACGTCACTTCAAACAGCATCAAAACAGTGAGATGGAAATTGCTGCTGCATTCTCTCTCCCTAAACACTCCAAGGACAGAAAACAGTTACTTGAGAAGCTACGAAACAGAGGCAACTACCAACACAATCAAGAGGTTATAGAAAGAAAAAGAGGACCACTGAAAATTAGGAGGCGCACAGGAAGATCAGAAATCGAGCTGAGTGCCAAAACATTTGTGCATTGTGTATACTGTAAAGGCCTGTTTGTTCGCAAGGAGCTGTGGCGCCATACACGGAGATGCCCTTCAAAGGTGTCTGAAGCAACTGGCAAGGCCAAAGTATTAGATTTGGCTGATATTGCAGAGTCAACATTCTCCCAACCAATATCTCCTGAGGTGTGGAAGATCTTGGGAAATATGAAGAATGATGACATTTCATCAGTAGTTCGAAATGATTTCCTCATACTTCAGTTGAGTCAATGTCTTTACAACAAGCATGGCAGTGATCCATCAAAATCAGAATACATCAGACAGAAGGCTCGAGAAATGGGCAGACTCTTGCTAAGATTGAGAAGAAAATACTCAATGTATAGCTTTGAAGATGCTGTGAAACCGAACCATTTTTACAAAGTCCTTGAGGCTGTGAAAGATGTTGCTGGTTACGATGAAAAGAGCCATTTGTATAAGACGCCAAATCTTGCACTGAAGTTAGGACATTCACTTAACAAGATTGGTGACGTTATTCTCTGCAGGGCCATCGCAGTAGAGGATGATGTTATGACAAAAGCAGCAGAGCAATTCAAAAGACTGTGCTCAAGTGAATGGGCAGGACATGTCTCGCATGCTGCTCTTGCTACTTTGAACAAATCAAAGTTCAGCAAACCATCTACTTTACCATTCACACAGGACGTGCAGCTTCTCCACCAGTACCTAGAAAAGAAATCAGTTGAAGCTTCTGAAAGCCTAAAAAATCACGAGTCTTCACAGACATATGCAGAACTTGCCAAAGTGGCACTTGCACAAGTAATAATATTCAACAGGCGTTGTGTAGGAGAAGTTTCAAAAATGACGCTCGAGTGCTTTAAGAAAAGAAACCAGACTGAGCTCCACAAGGACATAGCTCTCGGTCTCTCTCCATTTGAACAAAAAATGTCCAAGCATTTCAGCAGAGTAGAAATCATGGGCAAGAAAGGGAGAAAAGTTG